TCACTATGGGGTGGGCTCTGGAGGTCTCTTCCTATGCTCAGGCTCTCTACCCAAGTCAGAAGAAATCTTTTCCTAGATGTCTTTGGATTAAGATAGAACTTGGAGCTCCTCCAGCAATATGTCTGCCTGCACTGCTGCCCTGCTTCCAACCATGCTGATAATGGACTAAACCTCTAAAACTGTAAGCCATCCCAATTAAATGTTGTCCTTTATAAAAGTTGCCTTGGTCATGGTGTCTCTTCACAGCAATGAAACTCTTATCTAAGACCGAAGTTGGTAACAGGGACTGGGGGTATTGTTGTGATAGGCTTGACCATGGTTTTGTTTGGAGGTATGTGGATTTGGGGACTTTGGATTTGGAAAGCATTAAGTGTATTTAGAATGCTTTAAGTGCATCTTAATTGATCATCCTAATAGGAATATGAAAGACAGTGGTGCTGAGGGTGATTTGAACTGTGGGGTCCTGGCTCTCGATGTCTCAGAGGAGAATTTTAGTATGTGGCCTAGAGATTCTTCTTGTGCTATTTTGGTGAAGAATGTAGCTGCTTTTTCACTTTGTCTGAAGAGTCTGCCTGAGGCTAGGGTGAGGAGACTCAGATTAATTGCATTGACAAAGGAAGTCTCAAGTCAACCAACTTTAGACTTTGTCCTGTGGTTCACTTTTGTAAGAAACATTTTGATCAAGCTATAGGAAGCTTAGAAGGAAAAATGCAAAATGTATGGTTCAAGTATTAAAGAGGCACCAGTGTAGTAATAGAAGTATAATAGAGCTAAATCCTGTGTGCAAGAATGATAAATTGAATTAAAAGAGTGGTGACCTCAGGGTAAGATCCCACCCAGCTAAGCTTATTGTTTATGTGTTTGCAGTTGAACAAGAAATGGTTATATCATGTTAGGCATTGTTATTACCTGCCATTTAGACTTTTAATCTGAAATGAACTACAATACAGAAATAGACAGTACCTGTCATCTAGTTCCTGAGGCTGAGGACACAGGCTTTTGATAAAGATCTTTACATGAGATGACACATAATATTGATCTGAATCTTGAGGCATAGTGGCCATGAAAAGCTTAGGCCCAGGCATAGAAGTACAGGCTTTTAATCCCAGGAAACAGAGACATCAGATCTTTGAGTTCAGGGCCAGCCTTATACAAAGTAAGTTCCAAGTAGAAAAAAAGCTTAGGTACAGGCATGGCGGACCATGCCTTTAACCCCAGCATTCAGAAGACAGAGGCTTGCAGATACCTGAATTCAAAGGCAATGTACAGAGCAAGTTCCATTACAGCCGAGCTTAGGCAGTAAAGGAGTTGGAAAACAGAAAGCTGGTGATAATGTAATAGAACAAAGGGGCCATGTTCCACCCTACTAAGCAACAGAACTCTGCAGCTTTAGCCATGTGGCTCTGGCTTTAGAATCAAGAATAGACGGAGTTACTGGGACAATTAATGCTGGTTAGATGAAGCTAAGAAATTAGTGGTGATTAAGAAAAGAACAGCATCACTGAGCTGAAATCTTCTGGAAAGTATTTTCTGAGAGCACGAAGAAGCTGTGTTCCAGAGATAGCCAATGTTGTACCTCACGCTGCAGCTGGACTCGGCGATGTGTAAGAGTCCTAGATGGTACTAGTTTTGAAAGCATGAAGGGATCATAGAAAGCAGCTGAGGCTTGGAAGTGTGAGATCAAGAAAGGCATTGGTAAAGGTGTATCCTCAGTTGCAGTTGTTATTCCAGGAGTAAAGGGGCCATGCAAAGGACTTGAGAAAAGCTGCTAACAGGGAATGGAACCAGCTCTAGAGAAAGAAGTTTTTTGCAGTCAACAAAGATGAAAGGAATTGGAGACCTGACATCGGACATGGAAATGCAGAGTTTGGAGTTTTCACAGCTGGATTTTGGTCAAGCTTTGGTCTAATATTTCCTCAGTATAATGTTTTGGAATGGTAATGCATAGCATGTGATGTTGGAGGTATGTGATCTACTTTTTGCTTTTGATTTTATAGGGGATTACAGTTAAATGATTGCATGAATTTCAGAGGAGACTTTGAACTTTGGACTTTCAACTCTGTTGAGATTGCTATAGACTAAGGAACTAAGGGACTAAGGGACAGTCTTCTTCTGGCTGCCTTTGAATCAAGAGCTGGTGAATGTACAAATACAATGTATGAAATTGCCAAAGAACTAATAAAAATAAACTTTACAAATAAATTTTGGGAAGATACTTGAAGCTTTCCAAAAATCCTATTTAAATGTTTATCTGAAAAACTATTGTACTCATAAATAATAAATGGTTACCGGGGCTGGGGATTATGAAGGGGAATATTCATCCTTTGGTTTGAGTGTCTTGTCTTTGTTACTAGGCTTTAAGCTGAAGACAGCTTGAGGGTCTGTCCTCTCGGTCCACAGAGCCTGTGCTCCTTGCCTCACTTTCATTCACTGTCTTGCAGGAGAGGAGTGATTTCTGGGAACTGTCTGAGTACTGCAGCAGTGACTAAGCCTTCAATTTTCAGAATTATGTTTTTTGAGGGTCTCAGAAATTGTACTTTCTACCGAGTCTTTCCTCCCACAGGGCATGATGAAGTGATACGGAAGTGACATAAATTGATTCTGGAACCATCTTGAAAAATAATTTAAGTTATTCTATTTCAGTGTTTATATGGTCCTATCAATAAAAAAAGAATATACATGACATCTTGTAAGTTAGAATGAGGTATCTGGATAATTCTTCATCTGTGAGTGCTGCTTTAACAAGCGCTGGTCAGTTGTGTACCACGGTCAAGGCCGTGTATGATGCTTTATGGAGATGAGGAGCTAGCACAGGCCAGGACTATGCTCAATCCACGGCCGACAGGGAGCACTCAACATTTCAGAGAGTTTATATGACTTTTCTTTGCTGACATTTAAAAATTCTCTTTTAGTCAAAAGGTTGAAGAAGGAAACAGCTACACAGTCTTAATTGTATCATTCTTTACAGTATCTGAGGAGTTAGGCAAGAAAACAGTATTATCATTTTTTGAAATCTGGAAAAATGAGTCTTGGCTGAGGCTTTGTGGAAGTCTGTAGTGGTTCCATGTGCTTTGCTGTGACCGGTTGCTGTGAGAGCTTGCAACCAGTACCATGGATCTAGTGACTTTTATGGATGTGCGCGTGAACTTCTCTTAAGAAGAGTGGGCTTTGCTGGATCCTTCTCAGAAGAGTCTCTACAAAGATGTGATGCTGGAAACCTACTGGAACCTTACTTGTATAGGCTATAAATGGGAGGACCACAATAGTGAATAATGTTGTCAAAGTTCTAGAAGACATGGAAGGTAATTTTCATGTAGAAGCTGACACATAGTGTACCTCTGAGGAAATTTATAATGTACTCTGAAGTTTTTTTTTCTAGTTACATGAATTTATTTGTAAATTTCATATCAGTTCCTTAACTTTTTTTTCCTACTCTGAAGTTTTAATGAAGAAAAAAATAATGGAACTAAAAAAAAAAAAAGAAAGAAAGAAATCTGGAAAAATAGACAATAATTAGTTTAGAAATAGGAACAAATACTGTTAGCTTTGCTGACTCCTCCATCCCAAGTTTGAATACTTCATTAGTCAGAGTTTTAGTTTTCTAAGTAACTAATTGTGATAGGAATCTAAATAAAAGATACCCAGGCTGGAGAAGAAAGCTTTGTAGACTTCCTCTGGACATCGTTCTTCCCCAGCAACTCAGTAGCCACAAATGGAGGAGCAGGTGGGCTTAAATACTTCCTCTTTATAAAAATAAAGGGGAAACAATGCATAGGCTGATTTAAAATAAAAGCTAGTGAAAGAGAAACCCCCATGAAACATTGGTGAAAGATAATCTGGTCCTGATGTTGATCTTGTCCAGCTCAACCACACCATCATTCACTTTGCAGCTGATTTTACGTAGTTTTCAGTGAGAGCCTGTATCTCTGTGTCCATTAGCCTCACCTCAGACAGTGTCAATTTAGCTTCTTTTAATGGGCAGAAAAGAGGCTGTACTTCTGTCTTCTTAAAATTTTTAAAAATTATTATTTATATTATTTGCATTTATATAATTTTTATATTTATGTCATGTATATATTTTTTTCTTGTTTATTTATAGTTGTGGGTTTTTTCTTTTTCTTTTTTTTTTTTTTTTTTTTTTTTGGTTTTTCGAGACAGGGTTTCTCTGTATAGCCCTGACTGTCCTGGAACTACTCTGTAGACCAGGCTAGCCTCGAACTCAGAAATCTGCCTGCCTCTGCCTCTCAAGTGCTGGGATTAAAGGCATGCACCACGACTGCCCGGCTTTTTTCTTTTTCAAAGTAAAAGAAGCTCTTTTGAAGTAGATCTTACTACATGGTTGATAAGCTGCTCTGAGGTATGAGTGTTCTGGGAAAGTGAAAAGCACCCTGTCATTACAATGTTTCAGTGGATAACATAGAGTTTTCATAATGCACAGGCAGATATTTTATTGGACATTTTTAGTAAGCTCTGCTAATATTAAATTGATTAATTTATTATATTAATATTAACTGAAATTAAATTTGTGTTAAAATTTAAAGCTGATAGATATGTGTTGCTGTTAGAGAAAGGTACTCTCGTGGAGTACTTGAATCCTGCACAGTAGGATTCTTTCAAATAATGGACTTCTTCCAAGAAATGAGTGTAAACAGAACTCAAGCAACCATGCAAATGTAGTCCCTGTGAAAGTCTGACATGTGCAGAAATGCTAAGAGCGTTCAGTCATCAGCTAGAGATCAATGTCTAGGTGGAATGTCCAACAATCCTGTAGAAACGAGAGACCTCAAAAGAGGGAACACTGACGTACTGGATGTTACAGACGCCACTTGTGTAGAGGGCGGGGATCAAGCAAATAAATCCCGCACTGTGACATGTCACAATGAAGAGCATATAATGAGCAAACGGTGTGTGCGCCGGAGGTGGACACTGGTGAGAAGGCGCAGGGCAAAGGCATCTCTAGGGAAACTGTGAAACGAAGTAAGACACTCTAGACACGGTAAGACAACGTGACGGGGCTTGTTCTCTCATTCCCCAGAGGCCTGTGGTGTAAGACTAAGAATAAAGAGCATGTAGCAATCGGTACACACAAGCACCTGTGACTGCGACTTTACTCTTTATGCAAATATGTTGGATTTATACAGAGAGCTTGGAAATGACGATAAACGCTACCCAGAGCTCTTTACAGGCTGACCTTTGGACACGTGCATCTCGTGTGAGAAATGCAGAAAGGAAGGCTTTTAGGTGGAGGAAGTGGCCTCTGGCTGTCTTGTGACTATCACTCCCTCATCAGAGAAACCACAGGACAGACACGAACTGAGATACAGAGACACAGCACAGGAAAAGGACTCTCTGTATAGGTAAGTGGTGAGAACTCTTCACTCTTTCTGTTTTATTCTCCCCCTGCCTTCCTCAGTTTGAGACTGTTCTGGGGTCTATAGCTTAAAGGCATCCGCTCACTCCAAGCTTTCATACCCACATGATCATGTGGAAATCGACTGACAACCTGTAAGAGCTGTGCATCCAGAAGCTTTTAGAATTCCCCCAAACATCACTAACCTTGGAGGAAAAAAAATCCCATCTTGATCAGCCTTGATAACATCTTCAGAACTCTCCCCATGAGTTTCTTTGGGATATAAAGCAGTATACATTTTCATTTATGCCCCTAACCCTTGTGTGTGGGCCTGAGTGTGAGTGTGTGTGTGTGTCTGTTGTGTGTCTCTGTATGTGTGTCTCTGTGTCTGTGTGTGTGTGTGTTTGTGTGTGTCTGTGCGTGTGTGTGTGTGTGTGTGTTTGGGAGCTTTATTTGCATCACAGTCTATCATGCTAAGGCATATTTTTTTGAAATGTGTCTATGCTTCTCCAAGAATTGCTTCTTTCATCATTTGACATTAAAGATAGTTTAAGAGATTTACTTCAGACAGTTAAACTTAAAGCTCCTAAAGAGCAGTATAGTTACTCTCAGTGCTCAGGGGTTGACATAATGCAAGACTCTAAAGTGACATTTTGTTGTTTTGGTTTTTTTGGTTTTGTTTTGTTTTGTTTTGTTTTGTTTTGTTTTGTTTTGTTTTGTTTTTGATAGAAAATAGAGATCCCAGTTCACTGGTACAAAATTAAGCATCCAGTGTTTGAAATTAGTAACTTAGTTAATAAAGTGTCATCTATTTCCCTCTTGATCTAAACTTTTTACTATGAACTGGTAAATTTTCCAGATCTGAACTAAAATTCCCCTCCCTCTTGCACTATGAAGTTATGGAAGTCAGTGTACTCTCTTCCCCTAATTGTTAAGGAGCAATGGCTGCTGTTACAGGATGCCAACGTGTGTAAGATGTTCTGTGGACCGTAGCTCCTCGCCTCCTTTCTGCACCCAGCTTCTGTATTTTAAAATACCAGACTCTACACAAATGAGGTGCAAGCACCGTGCCATGTCTACTATGTGTGACGGCTTTGTTGTGGGATTAAAACTGTTGGCAATACCAGAGATGCTTCCAGTTGTGTACTCCAGACTCAAGAAGCTATTGCAGAATTACTGGACATGTGAAAAGAACTTGGCAGGAAACCCCAAGTATCTCTGAGTTCCAGATATCTTTCATTGTAGTATGAGAGCTCAGTTAGGCCACTGGTGTTAAATAAATTATAAACTCACTGTTGGCAACTGGCCATCTGTGGTGGTTCTTTCTGCCTGAAAATTGGCTTTGGATTTCTATCGTCTTTCGGGCATACAGACTAAAAATATTAGACTATTTTTAACTGTGTTATCTTAATCAAAATAATATACCTGCCTAGTCAGACTTAAGTGATTTTACCACAATTCACATACTATTAATAATCACATTAAAAGTACCCATGTTGCTGGACAGTGGTGACGCATGCCTTCAATCCCAGCACTTGGGAGGCAGAGGCAGGCGGATTTCTGAGTTTGAGGCCAGCCTGGTCTACAGAGTGAGTTCCAGGACAACCAGGGCTACACAGAGAAACCCGGTCTCAGAAAAACCTAAAAAAAAAAAAAAAATCATGCTGACTGCTCCTCTATATTTCTTCCAATCAGCTGAAATATCAGTATTATGAAATATAAAGATGACTACAAACCTAATAGAATGATAGTACAAAAGACAGACTGCTTCTCAAAAGTACTATTAACCTATGTGAAATGTTGTTTCCCAACAAGTTTAGCAAATACTAAGAATTTAATCTTCCAGTGAATAGAAAGCCATTTAAGCTTGAGTTTTACCCAGGGCCTTTACTGCTCAGTCATGTGCTGAAGAAATGCACGTGATATTTTCCAAATATCTATCTCCTCAATCAGAAATTTTTCGTGACTCACCTTGGAGTATTAAGAAAGTAGATAAACTTTTTGTTCTCTTCAGGAGTAAATGCCATTTTCTCTATGTGACATTCTCACAAGAGCATGGGAGAAGAAAATGCAAAAATGAAGCCACATGGAAAAATGAGCCCAGCATGATGCCAGAAGTCTCTGGCTCCATTCAAATCAGGCTCAGTCAAATCAGAGCCAAATAACAGGAGTGGCATTTTTGTCTGTTTTCGTTTGTTGGAACAAGGTCTCTCTATGTAGCTGTGGCTGTTCTGAAGCTTATGTATACCATGCTGGCCTAGAACTCATAAAGACTCATGTGTCTCTGCCTACTGACTGTTGGGATTAAAGGCATACGCCACTATGCCCAGCTTAGCCACATTTCTTGTGTGAGGCAACTTAGAGTCTAATTATTTAATATTTTTATTGGGTTGGTTACATCACACAGTTCTAAGGTTTTCCCTTTAAGTGTAGTGTTAGCTTGAGGCTCTTCAGCTATTTTACTGCTATTATGACCCTTCTGCTGGTAATAGTTTTTGCTGCGGTTTGTCACGTCGTTGTGAGCTTAACCAAATATGTTTTAACTTTTCCTTTCATATTTCAACTTTTCTTTTCTTTGTGGTAACATCAGAATGAGATTTCATATAACATGATCTTGAAGATCTGAGTCCAATGAGATCACGTAAATCTGGCTCATACCCTTCACTGAACAAAAGAGCTCTGGAGTTTCCCTCCCTCCCTTTCATGTCTGCGAAGCTCACACTCTAAGTCACACACTGTATGGAAACTTTAAATTAATTTATTCTTCGGCAATTTCATCCATGTGTATAACTACTTCAGGTCACATTCATCCCTCCTCCTTCACCTCCCCACACCACACTCTCCCTGGGAACAAGTCTCTTCCACTTTCCTGTGTCTTTGTTTTACCTGTTTTTATTCAGTGACTCACTGAATTTAATCTGGATGCCCCATGGACATGGCTGTGGGACTACTCACTAGAGCATGGTGACCACAACACTGAAGACAATGGCTACCGCTCCAGCAGCCATGGACTGGAGTAGGAACTGGGCTCCATGAGTTTCAGTGTTCTTTAGATAATATTTTCCATACTGTTCTGTAGGCAAGGAAGCTAAAGCTGG